GACCCGTTAATATATTGTTTTTCATGATGACATTTAGTTTCAATGGGACACTTTAAAAATGAAGGGAGAAGAGAGTGTTCAGCTGTCATTCACCACCTTTATTTTGCCCACCAATGAGGAAGTACCACACAGATATTTCTCCGCAGAAATCAAAACCCAAAATGTGCCATAAATACAAATTTCTAGTGTCAGTAATAAACCTATTCTCAATACAGATTTATCTGCAACACAAGATTCTTTATAGATGAACACACTGTTTATATAAAAAAAAAAAAAAATATTAAAATCCCACACAACCACTTGGATAATTTCAACTTCTGCTCAGATTTTTATGAATGTGATCCAAGTCTCCATCTGGTGAGCTTGGTTAGTTTTGACGGTGACTTCTAAAAAGGTTGATTTGTAGCTTCTGGCTCTCATAAACTTGATACTACCAACTTTTATCTGCTTCTGTCTGTCTGTGTTGTTCCTGTATTTGTGTGGAGGCGGTAAAAGAGGCTCGCTCTGCAGCGGTCATTAAAAAAGCCATTAGGAATCAATTTAAACTAATGCAGCTCTAATGGAATCAAGATGGCCCATGCCTTCAGAGTTCCTCACGCCCGTCATGTGTCAGTGCTTGTGCTACAAGCGTTGGTGGCAAAATCTTCAGTAAGCGGCAACAAATGTCCCATGACCACCTGGTCAGTGTGGCAGATGCTGCTCCTGCTCTCTCTGGTAGAACGTCTGACATGTCTTGGCCTGGTAATAGATGTGGAAGGGCAAACCAGACAGAAAAGCCCCCACCCCGCAGAGATCCTAGAGGTGTCCATATGGGAGTGGAGTCATGTCTGGCACTTACACACAGGGGGTTAAGGTTTCAGTCTGCGGTGGTTCCACACAACCCTTGAGCTGCTGACAGAGCAGAAGTTGCCTGTAACTTTGACGTTTTAACTGTAAAGAGAAACTGCTGTAGAAGAGCGGCTTTATCATTTGTTGTGTTGTTTGGTTGTCTGACCCATGTTCCAGTGCACAAAAATTCACCGGTGTTGAAACCTTACCTTTAACAGCCCCCAAAGGAGGCCCTATTTTTGTCCTTAAATCGTCTTGCAAACATTACTGTGTAAAGGTAAGCTGTTAGCGTAATTATCCTCATTTGACCTAGCCTTACCTCCGCGGCACTACACGCATGCATGGATTGTGTTTTTATGCCTGTCTGCCCACTGGTTGTTGACATTTGGTTGTGCTGTCGAGCAGAACACTTGAGTAATTCAGCTATAATCCAGTGCTGTGGAAGAGAACACTATAACAGCCAAATCCCTTTAGCACACAGGTCTAATTGTATTATCTGCAATACAGGGGTAATTGCACACACCAGCTGATGCTCTGCACATTGGGCCTAATCTCTCTCTCTTTTCTCTGTCTGTTTATCTGTCTGTCTTGCTGGTGTGTTAACAGAATTGGCACTCTCTGCTGCAAGAAAATATCGTGACTATATCGTGAAGTTGAAGTGTCACTCAGGGTGTAAATGTTTGAATACCGATATACACCAGAGCAGCCCAGCGCTGTTAAACACTGGTTGTTTGTTCCCTGTCATTGTAAAGCTGCAGTGGTAAATCAAACTCAAACTGTGGAGTGTGTGGGTCAGGCAAGGAGAGTTTACTTCAGCTGTAGTCGAAAACAAAACTATTAGGTTTGATAGCAGCGCTACTTACAGCTATTAACAGCTCAAAGTGTGTGAGGAGGTTGTGAAAGCAGCTGCCTGGTGGAGGCTAGCTCACTAACTGTTGTCTGTTTATCCAGCTGATACGAGTCGTCGATGCATTAAATCCCTCAAAACATTCATTTTAACTGGTAATGTACTTTTCTACTTGCCATAATTATCACCGTGTCAAGCTGCGTGCGAACATAAATATTTCTGTCACCAACTTACTTTCCTGCTATCACTGTTGGTGGTGCACATGCTAGTAGTAAGAGAAAGTTAGGCTGCTGGGTGTCTATTGTTGTGTATTTAAATAATATTGTCAGTATATGGAAAAGAGGAAGTAGTCTTTTTTTTTTTTTTTTTAATTGTGCTGATTGTAATAAATGTGGATTATTATATTTAGGCCCTCAAAGAAGAAAACCACGAGCCTCTTGTGACCCGCAGACTTCTCTTTGGTTACCTAGGGTATAAGTGGGTTGTTGCTGTTGTGGGTAATTATGTACTTTAAATCTTTAAAGGGGCTAGAATTCATTAGATGAAGCCTACAGACTCTCATTAGAGTAGCAACAGTCTGATATAGAAACCCAACAGCAGCTTATAGTGCTGTATAATTACTTCCATAAACTTTCACAGCAGATGTTGAAAACAATTGGAGAGGAGGAGTGAAGAAAAAAAACCACTTTCCCACCCCTCCTTTGACCAGAAAAGTTCTGTCCGATGTTGAAGTCTTTTCTCGTGGCGTCCTGATCCTGGAGGAGATTCATGCAGAGATGTACCTTAATGGAAACTCGCCCTCGCCCTGGGGAGTTTTTACAAGCGATTTAAAGCCAAGGAGGATCTTTGTGTGTGTGTGTGTGTGTGTGTGTGTGTGTGTGTGTGTGTGTGTGTGTGTGTGTGTGTGTGTGTGTGTGTGTATTTGTGTTGCTAGCAGCCTTGAGATGAGACTGTTTTTATAGCATTTATGTGGTAGCAACTCCGTGGCTTTCCTCCTTGTACTCCAATTAGAAGCACAGTACGCTCTCCTCTCAAGAGGGGATGTTTGGTCAGGACTGATGGTGCTCCTTTATGCAGGTCCACTGCAGACACAACAGCACTGTCTCCATGGATGCAAACCGGATATTAACCTGCACGGCCATCACCCAGCCCCAGTTTTACTCTGTTCTGCACACTCGCACCACCTCTTACATCCAGAGGCCCCTGAAGTCAATCTCTCTTGAGTTTCTCTCCCTCTCCCTTTCACTATGTTAAGCCGAGTGAAACATGGAAATGTAACTCTGCTGACGGCCCCTCTTTTATGAGGCCAGGATAGGGAGATCAAAAACCAGCTAAGACGTAGGCAATAGGAGTGTGAGACCAAAACATAACACCCTGTCAGGAGTGAACGCAATCACTTTCACTATGTGTGAAAGTGATTACATAACACAGCTGACTTTGGACACTGTGCTGCTACTAAAGGTTTTATTAAGTCTTGGCCTTGTTGTACAAACAAGTGCTTACAGACGTCAACAGTTTCAAGGGCACAAGCATTTCATATTTACCATGTAATTAGATCCCGTTGGTTTTGTGTAGCTTGAACCTGTTCTGTCATTTGAAACAAAAATGGCAGAGCTTCCACTTTCATTTGCATTTCCATCACGAAACTCCCTGCCAGGCCTGGGTGGGCTCAAAAGCCCTGTTTTCCCCTGAAAGGAGGCCCAGTTCCAGTGCAGTGTGCAGGGGCCTGCAATACCCCTCCTCTGCCATCTCTCTCCCCACAGGCTGGACCAGCAGAGCCAGAGACTGATTGGCTCTGTGCTTCAGGCTGTGTGATTCTCTGCAGCAGGGTAATGTCACCCTGGCTCACCATCACAGCTCATTCTGTACTTTTATTCTCCTCTGAGCCTTTAAACGGTTCATTAGCCTTTAACAAGACTGCAGAGCCAGCTCCAAACTCTGCTTTAACCCCTCTGTCTCTGGCTCACTTCCTCACTCTGCCAGGATCTGTCTGACTTCTAGACATTTTCTAATTACTTTCTATGTTCCTGGTCGACTCTGAGGTTTCACTTCCAGAGCTGAGATCCAGTCGGTCGGTGGTGTTTGTGATTCTGATCACTGTGAAGGACGTCTAACAGCAGTGGGATAAATGGCGGGGGGTTGGTTTGGACTGAAGCCTTCCTCATGGACACCCACCCTGAATGGAGAACATTGATGCTTCTCTATCCTGCTACCCCCCACCCCCCTCTGCTCGCTGTCCCTCTCTCCCTGGATTGTCATTCCCTGAATGGGCCTTTCAGGGCTCTAGCCTAGCGGGCTGAGATACAAAACCTTCCTCTGCAGCATAAAGGGAAAGGGCGCTGGGCCCTCTGAAGGCGTTAGTCAGCTAGTCAAAATCATCCAGGCTCATCACAGTTAAACTGTGAACACGCAGCACACAGACCTTTTCACTACAAGGACACAGACGGAGAGTTTACTGTCTCTGTAGAAGCAGTAAACTCACAGATTGCTGTTTACTTTTTGTTTGCTGTGCAAAAAAACAAAAAACATACTCATTTAATTTCCCACAAAGCCTTGTTTCTCGTTGATTCAGGAGTGACAAGACAGCCTTTGGTGAAATGTGATAGCTCTTATATGGACTATTGACAAACTTGTTACAGTGCCTCTATGAGCCGTAGCTTGAATATTTTCCGTTCAGCGCTTCTCTCGTACCTTTCTGAAAAATGTGCTTTCAATTGCTGATTAATTTTGCATGAATCCTACAGCTTTGAACTAAGCCTGTGTCCCAATTCCACACCATATACCAAAACTAACTTCACAAAGAGAAAGCAAAATCTTTTTCAAAAGTTGTAACACTCGAGTTTTTGAGATTGAAATATAACCCATATATCATTTATTTTATTATTTTTATTCATTCAGTCTTTTTTTGTTTTGTTTTGGGGAGATGTTCTTGGAGCTGTCTCACCACCGCTCTGTTCTAGTTTTTAAAAGCAGTGAGCAACTCCTTCATTTCTGTTTTACAAGAAAAGTTACCATGCGTACCAGTTACACTTAACCCTCTGAAGTCGATGGATGTTTTTCTATTAATATCTCTGCGATGATACGGTGTAGAAATATGGTTCAATGTTGTTAGAATCTGTAGACTGTCCACTTTCCCTTACATATTCCTGTGAGATCTTACGTGACTCATACCCTCTAAAATTTGGCTCAAGTAGAGTGACAAACAACACTACAAACACACTAGATTTAGTATAACTAGTATGTTGCACAGAACTAAATACAACATTTATACTTATCATCTCTCTTTCTCAACCCTCTCCCCATCTTGCGTTCACTCTGTCTTCAGGGTATACCCCAGCTCCCCTGTGCCAAGGCGCTCTACAACTACGATGGCAAGGAACCGGGAGACCTCAAGTTCAGCAAGGGCGACATCATCATCCTGCGCCGGCAAGTGGACGAGAACTGGTACCACGGGGAGATGGGTGGAGTCCACGGCTTCTTCCCCACCAACTTTGTCCAGGTCATCAAGCCGCTGCCACAACCGCCACCTCAGTGCAAAGCGCTCTATGACTTTGAGCTGAAAGACAAGGAGGCGGACAAGGACTGTCTGCCCTTCTCCAAGGTGAGACGATGTGACACAGCGACTGCAACGGTTCTGCCACGAGGTCGCTGCAGTAAAACAAAAAAAAATAAAAAACCTCTCATCACTCTGACACTCTGTCCGCCACGTGTTCATTTTCTCAAGTTATATGTGTGCGGGGGTTGTTAACTGAGACGCCCTGAGAAGTGGGGTAGATTTTGAGCCAGACTGCTTGATGAACAACTGTAATTAGACCGGAGAGAATGACTGCCACATAAAACAAGGCACGGCCCGACCACAGTAGCTGAGGTGTTGTGTCTGCCCTGCTGTTTGGGTCACACTGTGATGTCTTTGTATTCTGTCATCACTTGTTTAAATGCCACATGAGCAAAAACAGAAACAAGCTTACTAAGTAGTTTTCTGAACAGAATGCCATCCCTTAGACCCCGGTGTTTTCACTCTCGGGCATGTTCCCTGTAATAAAACATTGGCCCTACCTCATTATTTCTGCTCCGTGTTTGTTCCTCAAGGATGAGAAACACTCTCAGCTAGCATCATCCTTAATTAGGCTCTTCCTCACGCAATGCCGCCCTCTGTCTTGAATTTTCAGGACGATATCCTGACTGTGATCCGCAGAGTGGATGAAAATTGGGCAGAGGGAATGCTGGGAGACAAAATTGGAATTTTTCCCATCTCATACGTCGAGGTAAGAAAACGAACCAGACGAACCTTTCATGTCAAAATGTCCCCGGTCATTATTTAAAGCGAATGCCTAATGAAGATCAGAAAAACACTAAGATCCTTTTGAACGTCTTCCTCTTTCCTTCCACGCCTTACAAAATGTGTGCGATACTTTTCTGCCTTTTTGAAAATGCTCGTATGTTTCATAGAACCACTAAACATGTCTTTGAAGATTTAGACAGTCACAGTCTCTGAGCACCACAGGTCTTCCTTTTAAAAGCTGGAGGAATAATCCAGACAGAATGAAGTAAATCTTTGCCCTTTAAAGATCATTTCATTTTTTTTCATTTGGAAACTGTCAATGTCAGTGTGCGTTCCATTGTTAGCTGAAAAAATATGTCAAAAAATCTTCTTGGCACAAGAATAATGTTGAGGTTAGTCAGAGGGAGAGCAATTCTTATTTTTTTCCTCAAAGCTTTGACAGTTTTCTTTATTCCTTTCATGTATTCTACTCTATTATAATCATATTTATACACTGAGTGATGGGTTTTGCAGAAACATTATGCAGAAAATTTCTCAGTTTCTTGATTGTTTTGCTTTTGTGTAGCAGGAGCCACAGTAACAGAACAGAACATTTAGTTATCCTGGGACTAGATGGTATGCAGTCATGTTCAGCAGTACCGTCACAAACACGTCGAGCAACTCAAAATGTTTCTTTTGGTCTGACACGTCACTTGTGTTTGCACAGTAATCTGCAATTCCAGCTAAAGATGGTCTTAAATTTAATGAAGTTAAGATTACCCACCTGGTATTTTGTTCTTAATCCTGCACGTCTGCCTTAATGTGCCGACATGTCAGTGATGAACCTGCACAGCTCACTCCTGGATTGGAGTGAAATGCTTAGCTTTTATGTCCTAAGTAGAGGGAGCTGCTCGGGGCAACGTGTGACAGCGAGTGAGAGCGCTCTGTGATTAACTGAAGCCTTTTTAGTGTTTTACCTTTGATTTCCACCCTGCAGTCACACGGTGCGCTGCCTGAGAGGGTCACAAAGCCTGCAGCTTCAGAGCTAGTGTAGAACCGTCAACTCCATCAGGCTAATATGTCCAGAGTAAACAGTGTGCGTACATTTAAAAAGAAAAAAATGTTTTTATTTGTTTTAAATCTTGAAAATAAAATGTTGGCAACAGGAGATCCTGTCTTCTTTTTGTGGCTGCATCCAACATCCATCATGATACTGGAATCTACAAGAGTTTGATGTAACGTTCAGACGCAGAATGAACTTCGAATAGGCAGCAACACTATTTCATTTTTAGTGTCTCATGTGGTTTTTGATTGTTTATTGTAGCAGCTTGGTTTTTTCTTACTGTTGCATATTGTTGTTATTATGTTTAGTAGTTAGTTAGGCAACTGTTCTCATGATGATGAGAGGAATCTGTTGCTTAATGCCGACTTCTCCTGCACGTCTCTCAGGGATATTCAATATAGTGTATTGCAGGCTGTTGTTTAGCTGCTGCTGCTGTTGTTTTTCAGGCCTGTTGGTTGGTCTTTGAAATGCGTGTGGAGGCTAATCAGAGTTTTACTGTGGTTTTGCGTCTTAACTTTACAGCTAAAAGACACAAATCTCTCTCTCTCTCTCTCTTGCTCGTTCACTTGTGCGCTGAGTGGACATATGAGCATGTGTTGGAAACCTAAAGGTAGTGGTCAGGCGCTCCTTTGCGTACTATGAAATACAGTCCACTGAGGGTAAATACCTGTTAGACCACTCTGCCACTCACCATCTCTACTGATGAAACAAAGATTGAGGTCGTCCATGACAGTCAGCTCTGTTACAGAGAGTCACAGTTCTCATGATCATTTTAATGCTCCTCTCTTCCTCACTTCTTTATCTGTTATTTCCTCCTCACTACTCTCCTCATCGCCCCCCTGCCTCTCTTCCCCTCTCATAGTTCAACTCCGCAGCTCGTCAGCTTATAGAGTTGGACAAGCCGTCGGACTCCAGCGGAGACTCTGGTGAGGGGGCCTCCTCAGGGCCCCAGAGCAACGGCGCCCAGCGGGCAGGGGAGAAGAAGAACAGCAAGAAGCGACATTCCTTCACCTCTCTCACCATGTCCCACAAACCCATGCTAGCTCCTCCCCCTCAGCGTCACTCCATGGAAATAAGCGGGCCGGTCCTCATCAGCTCCAGCAACCCCACAGCAGCCGCCCGGATCGGAGAGATCAGTGGGGGGCTTTCCTGCAGCGCACCTTCACAGGTAAGGCACTCGCACAGGAAAGGGAGCGAGAGCGAGGAGAACGCCTGCCGCATTGCAGGTTGTGCTCAGTGAGGTGATTGAAAACAGAAAACTCATTTGTGGAAGCGTGCAGTATGATAAATAAGTTATATTTGGCCGTGTATAACACGTCGTTCCTGTCCTGATGTTCTTGTTTTTCACGGTTTACAGCAGAGACGTGGCTCTAAAACACAAACCTGAGAAATGTGCAGCACTCACAACACTGTTATGCCCTCACTGTGTCGCTTATTGACACTTAACTGTTCACTGGGATGAGACTGATCGTGACATTCTTTAATCCAGTGAGCTGGATAAGTTGACTCCTAATCAGCTGACTCAGCAGTATCCTCTTCAGTGGTGTTTAATTGCATAACTGAAAAAAAAAACAGACAATACACAGCCAACTGGAAAACAGGGTCCAGCCTTCAGCTCCTTTTGTTTTCACAAGATGTTTGCTGCTTTTCAAAGGCTCCACTCTCCTTCTGTCAACAATTAGGCTGACGTCCCTTTTCCCTCCCATCATACCAAACAGAGCATTGCTCCATCCAAGCGTTTGAAATCATGGATGCGTGACTCCACTCGTCCGCAAAAACGACTCCAGCTTAGTCCTCAAGGTTTCCGCACCAGTCCCAACACGGCAGAAAATCACAGCTACTTTGCAGCTGCCAGCCGCTGGAGGTCGGCTTTGACTTGGTGTTAGACATTCAGAACAACACGTACACAGATTCACAAGACGAGTGTCCTGCCGTTTATCCTGGTCTGAGCGTCTCTGTGAGAATAGAGAGCTGAGAATAACAGGAAAACGGTGCATGAAGTTTAATCAAATAGGCGTTTCCCTTTTTATTTGGCGACTTAGAACGATTAAACAGTGATGAATTCAGCTGAGTGTTACCAGAAGTTTGAGAACAAGAATAAAAGTCTTAATAGGTAAAGGTGATGTGTGCCAGGAATGCAAAACGATCTTGGCATGTTCACGCAGTAGCTGGCTTTCTTCTTTGTTATCTAAACAGTATAAAGACGGCTTTTAAAGGCTGGTGGTTTGCCAATATTTTGAGACGGATTTTTCTGTATGTATAGTGACATCTGCATTGTTTTCCCACTTCCAGGGCCTGGCAGCTTGTAGAGCTTGTCTGTAGTACGTCCCGGGGAGCTCTGTTTTTCTATAATTGTCTGCCCTTTTTTTTTTCTTCTTGAATGTACTTTCTGTGTTGTCTGCAGAGTTTCTGAAATGCTATGTTCCAGAACGCCTTATTAAGCAGCTCAATCATTAATCATTCATCAACAGCGTTTGTGCTTTTTTGTGAGAGGGAGTCGAGGAGAGTGCTTGTCTACAGTGAAGTGGATCTTCAGGATCTTCTTTCTTTTCTTTTTTTCTTTATAAACCAAAACCTTTTCATGTAGTTATGATTTATGTATCATCAAAGACATCTATTCATGCAGAAGGTGTAATCATGTTTTTTAATGACTCCAGACTCGGCCTTTTCCCACTAATCATTATCATGATACTTTTAGAATTAAAGAAACCTGTATTTGTGCCTGTAACCTGATCCTCCCTGGTGACAACAGGGCTAACAATAACTTTGATTTACAGATCTCTGTTTAATAAAAACACAAAAGAAAGTATCTCCAGGCACCGTATGCACAGCCTCTCTCGGCTCCACTCCACCCCCCCAACGTCTACTGATTTTCTCTCCTTCCAATATCCAGACAACAAAGGTGAGCCCCACTGCCTGCGGGGGCTGAGTAGTAGTCTGCTTCGGAAATAAGCACAGCGACCATTTACCAATGTACTAAATAAGATGAGGAGAGATTGTTTGAATTGTACCTGAGTGTAATTCATAATAATATTGTAAACATATACACAAATGTTCCAGGCAGCCATCTTGTGCCACCATCGAACACACTTGTTACGTGTTGCCTTTCCCCGACACACCCAGTGCGCAACAGATAAGCAGGCGGTGAAGAATGAATGTGACGTTGTGAGAGGTTCGCCCTTAAGAGGCGCTCCCTGTCTGAAGCAGTCATGCATGGAGAGACGCCGCAGGCTACAGGGAGATATTGTGTGTGTGTGTGTGTGTGTGTGTGTGTGTGTGTGTGTGTGTGTGTGTCCAACAGTATGGCCTTGTTACCTAAACACCGGCACGACTCACGTGGATGACCGGTTGGGGAACCCACCTCTCTGTGTATGCCCAATGAAATGTCCTGCTGAGCGGTTGCCAGGTTTCTGTTTGGCGAATCAGATCGTCGGGCTACCGTCTGGTTACGGCCACATGTGTCTGCTCAGTGAGAGTCGTCTTCACACGGTTATGACAATGCGAAATTGTGGCTTCATCTCTGAAATACTGTGGGACATCAGACTTCCCAGATGATGAATGACACCCGTATGTCCTTTGCTTCCGTCCTGAAGTCTAATTAATCAATAAGACTGATCACAATCATGTGGTGTTGACTAGAGCACATTTCTATTCTCCATGTGTGAGTGGAGCTTGTCCACTACATCGGCTTCAGCGTAGTTTATTTCATGGTCGTTTTTCCCTTTTGTTAACAGGTACATATTTGCACAACTGGATTAATCGTCACCCCGCCCCCTAGTAGTCCGGTTACTACAGCAACTGTCTTCACGTTTCCCTCAGAGACGAGCTACACATCCATCCCTGTGGTAGGTGCAAGCCACTAAAAGTCTTATAAATGTTGCCAGTACTAGAACAACAACAAAACACTTCAACAAGGTTGGACTAATGGATTCTAGGTTAGTGTGTTGCTTAATCTTTGATACTAAACCATCTAAAAACCAACCTAAAAGTTTGTGGCTGAGGCCAAAGAAAGTGTGTTTGTTTTCAATTTCAGTTTAGTTTTTAATTAAAGCAGGTTTGCTAGATTAGCTCTTATCAGTTTCAGTGTTAGTTTTAGTTTATTTGTTGGGAGAGATTGAAAAAGGTCAGAAAAAGTATCGTGTAATAAAAACTCAACAAAACATCACAACATTTTAAAACTGTATTCAGATGACAGATGAGCAACCATCCATGTGTGTTAGTCAGTGTGTTTGTGTCCAATCCACCTGGCCACAACAACAACAACAACAACAACAACAACAACAACAGAACATGACGTGTAGATATGTAGATAAATGTGTAAACAGTCGACATGAGATGCAGCCTGAAGTGCAAAAGGTCGAGTCAATCTGAGAGAAAAAACTCAAAAACCCAACAAACATTTAGTTTGAACCAACTCAAAATAAACTCATCAACCAACTGAACTGTCCAGCACTAGTCATAGATGCTGCAGCTCTATTATGACACTTCATTACAGTTAATTAACAATAAAATACGTGTTGTACCCGACATCGTTAATACAGTGAATGTCTCGGACACGTGCTGGTCGTTCTCTGACGGAGGCTGAGACACTGCTCCGTCTGGAACAGATGAAAAACTGGCAGATAGATTTCATATCCACCCAAAATACAGAGATGAAAACTAAAGACATTGTAGTTTATTTTAATTAGTTTTGTAAACACACAACACAGTTTCACTTGTTTTTATTTGTATTCCAGTAAACAAAAATGTAATTTTGTTGGTTTTAGTGAACAATAATAACATTATTTTGCCAAGACAGTTCACAAACATGTGTATGTGCATGTATTATTGTCATCTGGTCCATTTCATACACTTTAAAAACTTAAAAATCAAACATAATGCATGAGAGAAACGGGTTGAACGTGATTTCATACAATGGTTTGAAACTATACAAAATAAAAATGATCTGTAAACACGGGTTCAAATGAACCAACACACAGTGATGTCAGCTTTTCCCTTGGGAGTCCAGATGAGAGCTCCTGCCTCACGGCGCTTCTCATCAGCTGCCAACAAGCGACATAGTTACTTCAGGCTGCTCAGATGTGAAACTGTGTGAATCTGGATTCAGTGTCAAATAAGATGCTGTAGCTTTTTTTTTATTCAAAATGTGCTTTACGTAAAGATAATGACACAGAGGAGTCTTTGAACCGGCGTTTGATTCCTTTACCTGCGTCTGACACGTTTCAGCTGAGCCAAAACAGGTACAACTAAAAATGTCAAGAAATCCCTGCAGCCCACACAAAACAGCACGTACACTTCCTGTCTGTCTACGAGTGTGTGTGTGTGTTTGTGTGTGTGTGTGTGTGCGCGCTCTGGCATGTGGAGTTTCAGAATGAGCAGGAATGTGTACACAAAAGGTTGAGCTCTCCGCTTCACTTGGGAACCCTACATGATGTTTTTGTACAGATGATTTCTCTAGCCCGCAGGCAACCTAATTATCTCAGCTCAAGCGTCAGCAGTGAACCGAAACGCACATCGACACTCGTACATGCACGTAGGCCCGTACACATACCACAGGGCTGTCTGAGTGCCACTCTCCTCCCCCATTGTGTCATGGAAGCTATTACTCCGCTGCTCAGTGCTGGCAGTGTTGAGCTTGGGTCGACTCATCTTGTTCTTAGTTTGTAGGACTTGTCTCTGCCGTCGTTCCAACACACTGGATGCTCATTGGGAGTTTTTAGTTTTTCACAGTTTCATAAAAGAAAAAAGAAAAAGAGAGAAAAAAGTACGTAGCGTCGCTTTCATGTGCTTTATGTTGACGTAGCAGGTTGGTGACTTCATTTTAATCCTGTGATCTAGAAGCGTAGAAAGAAAAACACGCCACGATCATCAGCCTGTCGTCAAACTCTCGAGACTCTTCTGACGTTACAGACGTTCAACAAGGGAAAACAAGATGAAGCCACTCAGAGTTTGTTTGAGGGTTGCTGTGAAGTGTGTCTACAGACATGTTTTTCATTTCATATGGTCCCAATTAAATGCTGCAATGGATTTAACATCTAGCTATGTGGTCTCCTAGCAACAAACAAACAAGCAGAATGGGAGATTCTCAGCTGGAAGGGGGGAAGTCGTGGACAAGAGTATGGTTTCTGCCAAACAGACTCTCCCATAGTGTTGGCAATCCGGGGGGAATAACCCAGATGACAGATGATCTCTCCGTCTCTTCCTTTCTTTGTTGCTCATAAACAAACTGGTTTCTCTGCTCATGTGATGTGTGCCCGGTGTTTTCTGCGGCTTGTGTTCGTCTCTCTGCTTCACGCCGAGAGGAAATAACTGATGAGCCGTTGTGAAATTGTACTGAAATGTTGACCCTGTCTAACTACTAATATTATTTTCTACTTGTCTTGTACAGGATGCTCTCCCGCCACCCCCACCTCCTCCCCCACAATCCTCTGCCGGCGGAGCAGCGTATTCATTGGCTGCCGGACAGAGACCCTCCCCCAGCATAAGTGACCAAAGTGGGAGACAAAGACCCACAGTGTGAGTTATAAAAACAGTCCCACACAAAAATATGCAGTCTTCTTAGATGTGCAGTGAAATGTCAGAAGCGGTTTGCGCACCAGTGGCCCAGGGCCATAATGCACATACTCACTTCAGAGAGGGGAGGGGAGGGGAGGGGGAGGGGGAGGGAGGGGGGGGGGGGTCCTCGCCTGTCTGTGACCTCCACCCCCCTCAGCTGTCGGTGTGAGGCTGCAGAGCGTGAGCTTCGCACAGGTGAAGGGGTCAGAACCTGTGGGTGACAGTCTCCTGGGTCCCATTGGAGATCCTCCCTGTCACCCCTGACTCTTGACCCCCTCACCTTTACCCTCATTACTCCCCCAAGACACCACACACCTGATAAGAATTAGACGCACCCGTGCCTGCTCTCCTGCCGTCATCTGCGCCTGCCTGTGCGTGCATGTCGGACTCCGAGGCATTGATGTTCACTTCCCCTGACAACACTGAGATCTCACTGAAAACATCCCAGCTGGGACTCCTATCTCCTCGGCTGCCATTCCAGGCCTGCTCTCGCTCTGCTGTAGAGAGATGACCCGCAAATTGTTTTGTCCTCCAGTGCTGATTTTCTCTGGGTCAGAGGACACAGTCTGTGCTGGAGGGTCTCAGAGGAGATGATGACATATGCGCAGCTAGACAGCAGGATAAATCCAGAACAAATGGCACGCTGTTCAAAATATTAAAGCCTTTTTTATTTCCAAATGGGAGAAAATGAACCACACTGGGTCTCTGGGTGTGTTTGATAAATGCCTCATGTTTTGCGTACTGTTTGTTCTGGTTATAGCTATGTGGCGATGTTCCCTTACACTCCCCGGAAGGAGGACGAGCTGGAGCTGAGGAAGGGAGAGATGTTCCTGGTGCTGGAGCGCTGTCAGGACGGCTGGTTCAAGGGCACCTCCATGCACACTGGCAAGATTGGAGTCTTCCCAGGGAACTACATGAGTCCAGTCAGCAGGTCAGTCATTAATTCACTCTGCACAGTCAGTCACACGTACACATGCCTGGTTTGTCTGTGATCCGTCATCGTGGGTTAATAATTCCACCAGCTTGTTTTTCAGAGATAACCTCTTTTAAAACGAACTGTATGTTATAACATTCTTATTAATGAAGCCTGTCCTGCTTGTTTACTTTGATTTCATACACACAGTGTCAGCTGATGAAGCTGTTTCACCACAGACACATTCCAATGTTGCAAAGAATTCCCATAAACCACCAGTTTTCATTGCCATCTGTATTTCCTTGTTGGAACGTATAAAGTATTTTTGGCTTTCAGAATCCGTCAACAGCTGGTTACAACCAGCAGTTAGAAGTCATCATGGTTTTTATAATGATGTAGAATAATCCCCTGTTGAATACTTTCCAAGTTTTGCTCATTATGGTGGATTTAAAACCTCAGTGTAAATCTGAACCCTGGAATCAAATAACAGTCAAATTAGTCCCATATTGATTTAATTAAAAATGTAACTCGGAACAATAAGATGGTTCAACGTTTTAAACATGAAAACATAAAGAATAATCTCTGGTCATGTGAAGGTTTCATGTGATCATCTTCACCTTCTCTCCCCTCAGGACGGCGTCGGGGAGCACTCAGCCCAAAGTGCCCATGAGTCTGTGCACTCAGGCCGGCAGAGGGGTCACCATCGTCAGCCCCTCCTCTGCTCCTCTCGGGGCCATTGTTCCAGGGCCCGACTTCAACAAACCCCTGACTGTGTGCTCCACCGCTGTAGCTGCCAGCTCCCAACCTGTCGCTGTTGTAACAGCGGCTCAGACGGCCACGGGCCAGCAGCCAAAAGTCCCGCTGCACGTCAGCTCCCAGATGACTGTGAATCAGGCTCGCAACGCGGCCAGGACAGGTAAACCCGCCGGGATTGAAACACTTACTGGATGTTGCTTCATCACACGTCATTTTTAAATGTCTCATGATGTTTTATGTTGTTGTTTTACAGCTGCGTGTCACAGTCAGGACCGGCCCACAGCAGCAGTGACGCCCATCCAGTCTGCGACACCTGTAGCCTACCTTCCGCACCTCGCCGTGTGCCCGCAGCCCTCCTCCAGCCCGGCCCAAGGTTGTACCCGGGCCGGGGTGGCGATGGGCTGCGCCGCTGCTTCTCTGACCCCACCCAATGTCAGTGCCGCCTCCTTGGAGGGAGATGCTTTGAGACCTGTGCCTGTCCTCACCGTGCCCGTCGGCCCCGGGAACAGCTCCGCTCTTAATCCCGTGTCGAACAACGCGGCTCTTTCCTGCAGACTGGACAAGGACGTCAAGGTTGGACACGTCTTAAAATGATCAGAACTTCTGTAACCGCATTAATTCAATGATTCTGTTGCCATGTTTCATCATGGTGAGACAACCGTCTTAAATCCTCGCAGGTGATTGAAATCGTAGTGTTTAGGAATGTTAATGCCATTGAGAGCATTCATTAGTCGTAGCAACAGTGAGAGGTTGTTGTCATGGACAGAGTTTGTTTCTCTTTCTCTCTGTTATTTGTTCTGTTTTCATCGAACCTGCAGTTTAAAACCTGCGTGTGGTTCTTGAGAATGACTCGTGTCTCCAACATAAAAAACTGTCTTTATGCTGCAGAGAGAAAAGAAAAGCCTCCTGAAGCTGTTGTCCTCCAATAAGAAGAAGTCTCGTCCCTCACCCCCCTCCTCTCCGACCCTTGAGGCGGAACAGACTGCAGCTGGAGAGGCGCTACACGGCGCCGTGGGGCACGACTCCTCCCCTCCCTCCGGCTCCGTCGGCTGCCTGGAGTCTGAACCTGCTGCTGCTGCTGCTGCCGCCGTCGCTTCTGCCTCTTCATCCTCCTCATCCTCCTCGGTCCCAGAGTCTTCCCACCGGAAGAGCAGTCCCCTGGACGGCTGTGCTCCTATCGCTCCTCCTCCTCGCCAGCCGTGCTCCTCTCTTTTATCCCAACAGCATGATGCTCGGCCCATCATATGTGAGAGGTACGCTGATGTGAACCTGCAGGTTCTTACTGTTGTTTGCGATCGTCTCGCCCGTTGTTGGTCACACGATGTTGCAGGTGTCATGACTTCTCAGCTGTCATTGTTCCAGTGTGTATCGGTCACTGACGGTGCCTCTGCCTGTCCTCCCCAGGTACAGGGTGGTGGTTTCATATCCTCCCCAGAGCGAGGCCGAGCTGGAACTGAAGGAGGGCGACATTGTGTTTGTTCACAGGAAGAGGGAAGACGGCTGGTTCAAAGGCACGCTGCAGAGGAACGGCAGGACCGGACTGTTCCCCGGCAGCTTTGTAGACAGCATCTAATAAACACACCGCCGCCGCCACGCCCCGCTGCTCGCCTCGCCACAGTTCATCACTGTTCAAACCAAACAAGGACAGCACTCAGAGCGCAGCCGGGACAAGACGATCAGACTGACACTTGAACTGCGGCGCTGGTCACACGAGCGAGAGCGACAGAGAAGAACAGGAAGTGTTGTCAGTGAAAGCACAGTGGACAGAGTTAGAGGAAAGCACACGACTCATGAACTTTTCCCTTTTGTGTTGGTTATTTATATCTTTGTTAACAAATCAGCTGTTAAATGTGTGCCTTGTACTGTTCCTCACTTTATTGTACATACGGACACAAAGATGATTAGTCCTAAAACAACCCATATGAACTATTGATATAGATATGTTACGCATTTTAACTTATTTCATAGATTGGCCTTTTTGTAGTGCAACTCATGAGGGGCTGGAGCTGGCACATGCCTTATGCCACATTTTACCACATCAGTGATTCTTCTCTCCATTACACTACTGATAAAGGCCGTTAGCTTTGTTTCGCACTGTCAGCAGACAGGAGAAGGTACGTCAGACACGGCTGAGCAGGCGTCGTCATCACTCGCGCTGCAGCAGCAGAAAAGGATTCTTCCCCAGCTCCACAGCCGTTACCTCAACCCCGAGGATCATGGGAGAGATCTGCCGTATTGCACATGTGGGCACACGAGCTACGATGCACAGCCATGTGAACATTGCACATCTGAAAATATTTCTCTGGGCCAATCAGAGGGCCTCCAGCTTTTCTCCTGGTGCGGCTGAAGACAGTTACCTGCAGTGATCAAGTATTTGCATGTGATTAGTGAAGCCTCCTGCGGCAGACAGAGTGAAGATGGGTGTGTTGCAGGATGTGAAAAACACACACACACACACACACACACACACACATAAACACACACTCCAAACAGACTGCAGTCAGACTTTATTTACTTTCTACCTTCTTTGTATTCACTGACCAGAGTAGCTGCTCTCCTCACCCCCGTCTCCAAACCCAGACGTAGCTCTCCATCACGGGAGCGACATCACATTTCAGCAACGGTGCACAACAGATTCTTTTCAGTTTATGTATTTATGTCGGTCACAGTTTCAGACACCTGCTGCTCGTAGAGAGTCTCTCTTACAACCAACCAGGACACGCAGTAAGGCACGCAGACACCCTTCAGCAGGCTCTCAGTTGTTGGACACTATAACTCATTCCTAATGTGACTTGTGGCAATAAAAACACAGCTAGCTAAAGCACAGAATGTTTGCCTAGAGTAACATATCATTGCTTCACTCCACAGGGAGAGGTGTGTAGTGTCATTCTGTTGAACCTGGAAAAGGTAGAGTTTTTATTGAAATCAATCACTTTGACCCCCTTGATTTTTTTTAATTTTATTTTTCTTAAATGTCGTTTTGTGGTTGGGCTTTTCGTTGTTGTACATTTCGTCTTTACAAAGTCTTTAATGTTCAGTGTTGTATTGACTTGAATTACTGTAAGATTTCTTTGTGATTGGAGGGTTTGGTGCTCGTTAAACAGAAAGAATGGTCAGTTTTAGAATTAATAACTTTTTATCAAAGAACATGTCACAACGTAATTCCTCTTTTGCTTTTATTCAGTATCATTAATGACTGACCTCTGACTGACCTGAAGTCCTATCAGGGGGCATTTAACACTTGAGAGTTGAGGCAATCACTGAATTTTGCCAAATCTGGCTCTGAGAATGAATTTACCCAGTTTTTCTTTTTTTTTTTTCTTTTAGTCTTTTGTTGTAAACTGAGGGGACCACTGTGTAACTGACTGCTGGAATATGTTGTAGTTTGTTTGTAATTTGGAAAAGGATGGTACGAATCACTGTTAGGGCCTTTTTGTTTTTTTTGTATTTCTGAATTGGTACTTGCGTAGAATGAACCTGATGTATTGTTGTCATGGCGATCACCACACCAACCTCAGGCTCTACGCTAAAACCGCTCCTCTGAGTGTCTTCTCATTTCACTGGTAAGCCTTTAATTTACGCATCAGACTTACTTCAACACACACGCACTCATTTCCGCACCTTTGTGCACATAACATTTCTAATCAGACTGACTTTATCGTCCATGTTTTTCATGCGTAGGCTGCACAGTTTCAGACTCATGGAACATGAAGCATTTCTCACAAGGTAGTAAACTATATTTTCATTTATTGGAACATAAGGCAACTTAAGTTTGCTTGATTCAACTTAACAGATTTTCCTCATGCCAAGGTGACTTACTTGATTTTTTTTTTTTGTTTTTGGTCTGTAGTTAGTCTGTTGTATGTCTGAAAATGGTGAAACTGAAATCAACCTATTGGCACAAGTCTATCATGTGAAAAACATTCTGAAGTACTTTAGGGAATAGCACATTTTGTAAAAATCTCTATAACAATAAACGCTAATGGTTTCCATAACTTCTTCGGGCTGAGTCGTTGTTTCATCACGATACTGCAGAGCTGCTTTTCCCCTCTTGTTTTCTCCACTGACCTTGTGTTGTGTTGTGTCGGCCTCTCGCAGCCGCCGCAAAACTGTCTAATCAGGAGAGGAATCAAAGACGAACACCACAGCTGACGGGGCTGACTGCTCGTGTCCTCGCCTCGCCTCTTCCCTCATTAGTAAACCAAAAGTTTTGAAAAAAAAAGTATACGCACTTATTATAAGTTGCCACAGCAAAAAAGAAAGACAGTTGCTCCTAATTAAATGTATTTGGAGTAAGTCACATTACATGCGGTTATTAGTGTCTCCAGGAATGAAAGGCTCCTGCTGGAGAGGACCTTCTGCGGTGACTTACAGCAGAGCAGCATGCTGCACAGAGAGGTGAGCCTTCTCAGTGTTCAGCTGGGAAACACTGACAGGAACTGACAAGCACCCAGAGAGGTCATTGTACTGCACACGGTTCCCTGCAGAGGATGGGTTACCATGGAAATAAGTTATTCCAGCAGAGTAGCAGCATACGACTAAACTGAGTAGGAATAGTAAAAATGCGTAGATTCATTTTTTGCTGAGAATGTGTACGTTTAAGTCACGGTCACATGGTCTGCTTTGATGGGAGAGCGTCTGACAGCGGTGAGTCGGCTCTGAGCTGGTAAACGGCCTGGAAGGTCAAGATCTGAGTGGCAGGCGTGTATTTAAATAAAGGAGAAGCTGTGTGTGTGCAGAGTGAGTAAATCAGTCGTGGCTGCAGAGGGTGTGTACAGTTCAGATATCGAGTCTCAAGGTAAAGAATTTCCTGATAATGTTTAAGCTCAGGGAGTGTCGGTCACCGTGAGTCAAGTGCTTTAATGTACAGAGATAACTGACAAGGTTTTAGGCCTTTCACACAGTCTGTGGGAAAACAAAAAAAAAGAAAAAAAGATGCACCTCCATAAAATGACAGCTGTGATAGCTTCTAAAAATACCCCCTGAATCAAAGACAGACAGTGCCTCCAGAAAACCACCAGGCAAACATGAAGCTTTCTGTCACACGAGGCTCAGTGCTAAAGACCGAATGTGGTGCAGTGACTACGATTTATCTGAGCAGCGGGAAAGGGTTAATACTGTGTGTCTGAGAGCGTGCATGCATCTACAGGGTTGTAAAGCCATATTTATATCGTGTGTGTGTGTGTGTGTGTGTGTGTGTGTCTCTCAGTGCATTGATGTGTTTGTGCCTGAGAGAGCAAAATGCACTCAGATCACCAAGGTGTGAAAGAGGGGAATAATGTCTTGGTGCTCAGGAAGGTGACCTGAATATAAACCAAGTCCTGTTCCTGTCTCTGACACACAGACAGAAACAGTTCATACTAATGGACTCTGGAAGAGAGCAGTAACATTTTAAGCAAATTGTGCTTTTTGTATGTTGTGTTTTTCTCCTGTGCAGCGTGGATGTGATTCACAGTGCTCAGGGTCACAGGTCCTCTCCAGCACAGGTTGTGAATGTGATTTAATCTCAGAGAATCAATCCTGCTGAATGCCTCAGTCTGATGGACGGCCCAGGTGTAGGCCAAGGCCACCCACACTCAAACATTACTCACTTTTCTGTGCACCGGTGACAGTTTGGCTTTTCTACTGAGATATATTTCCATGGGGAACAATGATTCATGAGGCAAAGAGGATAACGGATCACAGCAATTAATAATTTTTTGTGCTATTTCAGGGTGCGTGGAGTGGAGCGGCCTCACCGTGTGCCAGCATGAATAGAAATCTTCTCAAACGTTGAGGTACGACTCGGACAGGACTGTAATTATTCCTGTGAAATAAATGTATTCTTGCACAAATAGTGCAGTAAATGATGGCCTCCATATTTAAAAGACACTATAGGAACATTATGTTACTGATGAAGCACAATAAGGTCAATAGAGACCTGCACTGCACAAACCTACCAGCAGCAGGAGTACAAAAACAAATGTCTCTGCACTGAACCTCATGACATTGCAGTTAGTTAGTTAGTTAGTGCGTCCAGAGCCAAACTGTCCACTGCAAAAACATTTTCATGGAAATAATATGTAAAAGTACAAAAACGAAATGCAATCACAAGAAAAAAACTGCTGTTTTTTTCTGAATTAACGAGATTATTATTAAGTAATTAAGTAATAATTAAGTTTTCTAAAAAATCAAGAAAAAATGATCTCATTAATTCAGAAAAACAGGATTTTCAAAAGAAAACTTTTCTCAGAATTCTGAGATAGTTGTGTCGTTGTTCAGGAATTTTAATATTATCTTTTTAAATTTTGTAAATAAAGAAAACCTGTGGTTTTCTGGATTAACAAGAAAAACAGAGGATTTTTTTTTTCTTTTTGAGAGTTTTTCTGAATTGTTCATTCGGGAGAACAGAGCAGTTTTACTTGCCTTTTATCATTGAAATGACGTGGTAACATTGAGGGAGAAAGTGTGAGGTTGAGGACAAACAGTATCATGTTTTTTTGGCTGAAAATGCCAGAGACACAAACACTGACTGAGACGGATGAAAACACTGAGCTCACTGCGCCCTCTACCGACCGACGTCCGGTAACGCAACAGCTGTCAGGGAGAAACAAACATGGCGACGCCCGTGAGCAGCCACTCTTTTGTTATTGAGCCGTTTTTCAGTAAATAAACTTCGTGACAGAGGAGCACGTCTGGTCCGACGGAACATATCAGTCTAAGATCAGGTAGGTAACAGATAACTGTGTGAACTTTACTGTAAAATCATAGATAAATAGTTGGAAAACAGCTGTTAGACTAGCTTTACGTCCCCATTAACGAAATGAAAATATGTATTCTTCTTCAATTTATCCTGTTTTCCATCTTCCTCTCCAGGTCAGTTTATCTTGTGTATTCTAAGACAGAAGTCTCCAACCTCTGAGAGCCACTTTAACAAAATAAAAGCTCCCCATGTTTTATATTACCGGTCACATTTATTCACGTCACTCAAACTGATCTCCAAACCAAATCAGATGAATAAGATCATTTAACAAGTCTTTAAATATCAACATCCAACACTCACATTTTCAACCGAAAACATCTGAAACTCACATCAAACCTGAACACAGAGGTGAAAACACTACCGTAAATAAACCTCCACAAATCTGATCAGACACCAGAGAAGAAGAAGCTCCTCAGTCAGTGATCAGTGATAGTGGTCAGTTCATCAATGGTTCACAACAAACAGGAAGTTAAACATCGATCATTCACTAAACTTTATTTTCCAAAATGTAAACAAACATCGGCTGAAAAATGAAAACTGGTCTCAAGTTGAAGCCCACAGTTTAACTCACTGTATCCATGGCAACATACTTCCTGTTTGTTGGAGAAGCTGAGTTTCTATCACTGCATGTGGCCTACAGCTGATCTGATGTAAACAAACCTGACAGTGACGCATGTGACAGATAATGATCTGGTGCTGAAGAATATTTGTGTCTGTGTGTTTGATTTACTACTACACGTCTACCACATTATATCTGAGTCATTTCGTACAGTGTGTTAAACAGGCGCTGTGTGGTTGTCTGTGTGCGGCCCTGCTGCGACGCTGTGTCTCCTGCAGGGTCATGTCCCGGCTGGCGGTGGTGTGTGGGGGCTCCAGGGGCATTGGGAAGGCCGTGTCCCGCCTGCTGGCAGAGAGGGGCTGCAGGTTAGCTGTTGTCTCCAGGAACGAAGACGCTGCCCGGGCCACTGTGGCTTCTCTACGTGGAGGTATAGTATACACACATTTACATATGCATGTGTATGCATGATCCAATTGGAAAGACGCTCTCTCTCTCTCTTTCCCTGCCAAACTCTGTTGGTTTTGTTGCCATTTTCCTTCTTTCTTCAACAGTGCAGACACCGTGAAATGTGAACAATTCGAGAAAACGTCACACTTACATTGTTTTTTAAATGCTTTTCTTTCAGAAGCCTGATAAAACTGTAAAAATGTGGATGCAGTCACAACAATAGTCAGTTCCTGTCAGAAACACTTGTGCAAACACACCGTACCCGGCAGGCAGGAGGCCTTTTGTTCCATTAAATAAAATAAATATAGAGCAACAGTCCCTGCAGTTGATGAACGTGCTGTAACCATGAACACACTCACAGACCGTCTGTCTGTGTCTGCTCTCCAGCTGACCATGTGGCGTTTAGCTGCGATGTCTCCAAAGAGCGGGAGGTGCAGAAAATCTTCGACACCATCCACAAAACCTGTGGAAACATCTCTTACCTGGTGAACGCAGCTGGTATCAACAGGTGAGCTGACACGTGTTACACTCATCACACACACACACACACACACATATATATATTTATATATATCATATATTGAAGTTGATGACCTGTCTGTGTTCAGGGATGCTCTGTTACTGAGGACCAAGCCGGAGGACATGGTCGCTCTGCTTCACACCAACTTGCTGGGCACCATGCTGACCTGCAGGGCGGCGCTGCGCAGCATGTTGCTCTCCCAGGGAGCCGCCATTGTTAACATAGGTAAAGACTGCTCTGTGTCATGTTTTCAGTTTGGTCACTGGGGGGCAGTGTGTATCACATCTACAGTGTTACTTCAGAGCAGCAGGCTGGTAGTTTGTTTTAGCTCATTTACATGGAAGCCCTGAAAGTTAAAACTTATAAAAATGATCCAGTGGCCTCTCAGGGCTTCCGTACATTTACCACAAAGTCACTGGTGTTTGGATCATGAAGGGAGGAAGAGTTTTGTTGTCAGAGATGCAGGATACCTCTCCAGCATCAATGCTGCAGGTTAGTGGCTAAACAGCATGAAATTTACAGGATATGTCGGATGACAAACATCATCACACACATGAGGTTTACTGTGAAGGATTTTTATCTCCAGAAAGTTTCAAGTAAAACAACATCCATCAGTCTGTTAGCCTGTAGTTTGGCTCTGATTAATAATATAAATCATGTGTATCAGTTGAACTAAAACACTCTTATGGTCCTTCAAGCATAATGACTTCAAATAGCAGCTTTGTACATGTGTTTTATTTTGAAATGTTTCTGTCATACCAAGTATTCTTAATGGATTCTGCTTCCTGTTTGCAGGCTCTGTGGTGGGCCTGAAGGGGAACGCTGGTCAGAGTGTGTACAGCGCCAGTAAAGCTGGTCTGGAGGGTTTCACACGATCTTTAGCTAAAGAAGTTGCATCACGTAACATCAGGGTCAACCTGCTGGCTCCAGGTACGCTCCATCTGTCTGTACTGGATGTTTTATTTTCCCGCCTCTTCTGTCACTTTGTTATAGTCTCTCTCTCATGTCCCTGTCCTCTCTTGTGTCCAGGTTTCATCCGCACCGACATGACGGCGGCGCTGAGGGAGGAGGATGCGGCGCGCTCCGTTCCTCTGGGGAGATTTGGCGAGCCGGAGGAGGCGGCGCAGGCTGCTCTGTTCCTTTTGGAGTCTTCCTACGTTACAGGACAGGTGCTGGTTGTGGACGGAGGGCTGCAGCTGACCATGTAGTAACCTCACCGTGCAGAGCAGCGGCAGCGAGGCAGGTGAGCGCCTGTGACTGACACGAGCCTTTATGGCTGCTCTGATTCTGACTGCGAACACACAACCGCACAGAATGAAGGCCGTTACCCAGAGGGCCACCGTCCTGCCGCTCGTTCTGCTGAGTCACTCTGTCCGCCCTCAGTGGGCGTGGCCTGATGTGTGTGACAGTGGGGTCATCGTGACTAACGCTGCTGACTCCAGAGTGTCTGGCTCCGTCCAGACCTCGGTGCCCTGAGATCCTGAATGTGATCAGTAGATTTAACGCTCTTGGTCTTTTTCCATGACTGTTAGGCGCCCCCCCCCCGGGAGAGATCCCCCTCACGGCCGACACATGTTACCCCCCCCCCCCCCACCCCCCTTAACAGCAGTCCCCCCTGAGCCCACCTCTGTCGGGGCCTGTGGAGGGGCCAGGCATGTCGGGCTGCAGCTGGAGGAAATTAGAGGTGGTGGTGGAGGTGGAGGGGTATTTTTAGCTGTGGGAATGTTGTGAGTGTCTGGTTACAGCTCTGGTCCTGCAGTGTGGATGGATGAGGTTGGAGGTGACTGTCATGCTCGGCGATGAGATCTGAAATGGCGTGTTGCTTGTTCTTTTCACTGAAACCTGCTGCTAGCATCAGAACCGCCACTGTAGCCGAGCAGCTTCTCTCCCTCTTGTGTGTGCACTTGCATCGTAAACATATTTTCTATTAAAGGACTGGATGCCATTAGACTCTCATTAGTATTCTTTGCAGGAATGTTTTTTCCACTGTGACTGATGGTGTGTTTTTTGGCGTTCTCTGCCGGTCTATAAAAACATCTCACGCTGTCTGAGGAGATTTTTATTAACTTTCATAACCTAAAATAATATCAGGAGAACAATCCATATACAGGCATTGATTGGCATAGAAATGTGCAAACACAGTAACTGTCAGCTGATGCACTTCGTTCAACCATCATTGAACTGCAGATAACATAATGACAAGTGAGCTGGTGCAGCCGGTGGTTTTCTTATGCTTTTATAGTACGACACAAACCGATTATATTACACAATTCATCAAAGGTCTTTCCAAAAGCTTCATTTTATCGACTGGACCTGGAAAATGACTGAAGTGTTTTACGGCGACAAAAGGACCGTCCATGGAAACTGTCGGCTGATTCCTGATCTGCAGAGCGTCTCCTGTTCAAGTGCCTCTCGTCTCTGTAAAGATATAAAGAAAAAAAAAAAAAAAAGCAGGTTTAAACAGTGAAATGAAACAGTAGTAATTTACTATGCATGTCAAGTGGTGCCATTTACCAATACACAGGTAATACACTTGTATCCTATGTGAGGCACGTCCAGCGACTGTGGGAGGAACACTTGTCAAGAGAGAACTGAGTGATTTCAAAGCATCGTAAGCTATTGACGAAGAAGAGAGATCACAGACTTTTATTATGTGGCTTGTGTAGCACAGACGCGCCGATAGCTACAGCATCATAGTATCACCCAGTCTCAGCTTATTAGTCTTAACAGATACATTGGACAAGGCCCGGCCTTACAAACAGTATGTTTTAGTTGTTTTGCTTTGTTGTTGGCAACAGAAACTGAGGTTTAGGGGGAAAAAAAGAGAGAAAGCTTTCACATGGATGAGCGTTTAGTTTGTTTGTTTGATGCAGCTGAACTCAAGAGAGTTCTGGCTCAAACAGGAAGAGTACAGACGGAAAAAGCAAGTTTTTTGTAAAAAGGACTTTAATGTGGCGTGAGATGGGAGTGTGGACTGATGACGTGCAGTGGCTGATTATAATATGCGAAATATGAAACTTTTGGTGTATGGCCGTGTCTATTATGTGATGTTTTGTCTTTTGTTTTCCTTTCTTCTTCTTTTGATGGTTTATTTTACAAGTGTGAAATTGAAAATGTTCTCACTGGATGAGAGGGTGCTGTGAAATGGTTTCAGTGATAATTGCTTACACACCACATCACAGATTGTCCATTTTATTTTTGTATGGAAAAAAAAAAACACTAAATTTTCTTTTCCCCATCAACTCTTGACATAAATTATATCCAGCAGCCTTTTGTTCACTGATAAAAAACAATTTCTGTATCATGAAGTTCTTATAAATATATTTACTGCCTTTAAATCAGCTTTTAGGCTTTAATGCAAACTCACTTTCTTTGCATGTTATTTTTGCGACACTTGTACGGTTGCCAAAACAACTTTACCAGAATGTACAAAAAACACAGCTTTTTTTTTCCAGCGTGGAGGAGCAGCAAACTCTCCTCAGCTGCTGCAAAAGTTGAAAAGCAAAAGGTTATTATTTATATCTACTAATTATTTTGTCAGCCATCTGTAATACTATACAAAGTGACATCTTTTTCTGTGTCTGTTCGGAGCTTGCATGCAGCTATGACAGTTACTGTGTTTGCACATTTCTATGCCAATCAATGCCTGATATGGATTTGTTCTCCTCTGATATTTATTTTAGGTTATGAAAGTTATAAAAATCTCCCAATCAGAGCGTGACGATGTTTTAAGACGGCAGAGAACGCCATAAAAAACACCACCATCAGTCACAGTGGAAACATTCCTGCAAAGAATACTAATGAGAGATGTCTAATGCATCCAATTCCTTTAATAGAAAATATTGTTTACGATGCAAGTGCACAACACAAGAGGAGAGAAGTGCTTCTGCTCGGCTACAGTGCGCAGGTCTGTATGCTAGCAAGCAGGTTTCAGTGAAAGACAAGATACCGCGCTTTCAGATCTCATACGCCGGCATGACAGTTCACCTCCAACCTCATCAATTCCACACTGCAGGACCAGCAAGCTGTAACCGCAGACACTCACAACATTCTCCAAACAGCTAAAAAATACCCCCACATCCACCACGCTACCTCTATTCCCTTCCAGCTGCAACAGCCCCGACATGGCCTGGCAACCCGTCCACAGGCCCGACAGAGGTGGCTTGTGCAGGGGAAGACAGCTTTAAGGGGGTGGGGGTGGGGGGTAAACATCGTGTGCTGGCCCGCTGAGGGGGATCTCTCACCGGGGTGGGGGCGCTAACAGTCATGGAAAAAGACCAAGAGCGGTTTTTAAATCTTATCTGATCACATTTAGGATCTCAGGCGCACCGAGGTCTGACGGAGCCAGAGCACTCTGGAGTCAGCAGCGTTAGTCCACGATGACCCCACTGTCACACACATCAGGCCACGTACCCCAGCTGGAGCGGGGACAGAGTGACTCAGTCAGAACGAGCGGCCAGGACACGGTGGCCCCCCTTTTCCTGGGTAACGGCCTTCAATTCTGTGCGTTGTGTGTTCGCAGTCAGAATCAGAGCAGCCATAAAAGGTCTCGTGTCAGTCACAGGCGCGCTCACCCCTGCCTCGCTGCCGGCTGCTCTGCACCGGTGCAGCGGTACTACAGCCGTCAGCTGCAGGCCCTCCGTCCACAACCAGCACCTGTTCCTGTAACTTAGGAGAATGCCCAAAGAGTCAACAGGCAGCAGCCTGCGCCGCCTCCTCCGGCTCGCCAAAATCTCCCCAGAGGAACGGAGCGCGCCGTCATCCTCTCTCTCCCTCAGCGCCGCCTAGGATGTGGTCGGCGCGATGAAACCTGGACAGCAAGGAGAGGACCAGCGGGAAGGAGAAGTATGATGGTAAACAAAGTGACCGAAGAGGCGCGACAAATAAAACATCCATACAGACAGACTGGAGCGTACCTGGGAGCCGAGCGGAGTGAATCCCTGTATGTTACGTGATGATCAACTTCTTTAGCTAAAAGATCGTTTTGTGAAAACCCTCCAGACCAGCTATCTCGCGGTACACATCTCTGACCAGCGTTCTCCTTTCAGGTCCACCACAACCCTCCAAATCATAAGCAGAACTCATTAAGAAATACTTGGTATGACAGAGAACCATTTCAAAATACACACCGTAGCTAAAGCTGCTATTTGAAGTCATTTGTCTCTGTAAACCATTAAGAGATGTTAGTTCAACTGATACACATGATTTATATTATTAATCAGAGCCATACTACAGGCTAACAGACCTGATGGATGTTGTTATTACTTGAAAATCCGGATATAAAATAAACCTTCACAGTACAACCTCATGTGTGTGATGATGTTGTGTCAGACATATCCTGAAATTTCATGCTGTTTAGCCACTAATCCAGTCGATTGATGCTAGAGTATCCTGCACTCTTACTCAACAAAACTTCTTCCCCCTTCATGCATCCAAACACCAATGACTTCGTGTGTAAATGTACGGAAGCCCGTAGAGCGCACTGATCATTTTTATAAGTTTTAACTTTCAGGGCTTCCATGTATAATGGAGCTATAAACAAACTACCAGCCTGCTGCTCTTGCTAAGTAACACTGTAGATGTGATTACACACTGCCCCCCAGTGACCAAACTGAAAACATGACACACAGAGCAGTCTTTACTATCGTTAAACAATGGCGGCTCCCTGCGGAGAGCAACATCTGCGCAGCGCCGCCCTGCAGGGTCAGACATTGGTGCCCAGCTAAGGTGGTGTGAAGCAGAGCGACCATGTCCTCCGGCTTGGTCCTCAGTAACAGAGCATTCCCTGAACACCAACTTGCTTGCAGGGCACCATGGCATGACCTGCAGGCGGGCGTCTGGTTGGGTCGTCGGTGTAGCGATTCGTCGTGCTCCCGAGGGAGCCGCCATTGTTAACATTAGGGTAAAGAACTGCTCTGTGTCAGTTTCAGTTTGGTCATCCTTGGGGTGGCAGAATTGTGTGATCACATCTAACCAGTCGTTACATTCAGGCAAGCAAGCAGGCTGGTTAGCTTTGTTTAGCTCATTTCACATGGAAGCCCTGAAGCTTAAAACCTATAAAAATATCAGTGAGACCTCTCAGGGCTCCGTAATTTACCACAAAGTCACTGTGTGTTCTGGATCATGCACGAATACCAGGGAGGAAGAGTTTCTGGCTTGTCAGAATTGCAGGGATTACCTCTCCAGCTCCATACAAGAAACGTTATCGGCTATGAACCAGCAACGTGAGAAACTTTACAGGATTATACGTGCACTTGCGCGGAGTACATATCACATCTCTATCACGACACTATGAGTTTACTGTGAAGGATTATTTATCTCCAGAAAGTTTCAAGTAAACACAACATCCATCAGTCTGGTTTAGCGACTGTAGTTTGGCTCTGAGTTAATAATATATACATCAGTGTATCAGTGAACTAATAACACTGCTTCATGGTCCTTCAAGCATAATGACGTTCACTATTATCTAGCGTACCAGGCTTTACAGTATTGTGACTTATTTTGAAATGTTTCTCATCATACCAAGTATTCTTAATGGATTCTGCTTCCTGTGTTGCAGGCTCTGTGCGTGGCCTGAATACGGACGGGCCCGATCTACAGGCCTCCTACATATCCGGCGCGAGGTAACTGGTCTGGAGGGTATGGACACAAGATCCTTTAGCCTCTAAAAGCACAGTTCAAATCTTCACACACCAGATATCCAGAGGTACAACCAGCTTGGCCTCTATGCATGCTGATCAGCTTACCAACTCCCTGCTAGCTGATGTGGTGAGTGGTCCCGCCTCACTGCAGTCTGCGCTCCACTCCTTCTGTTCTCATGTCTACACATCACTGGTGTGGCGCGAGGTAATCCTTCACCGACATCCGACATGCACGGGCTCGCGCGTCGCTATGAGGAAGGGATGCGAGGCCCCTCCGTTCCGTACTGGGGGGAAGATTTGGCAGCCGGAGGATCGGCATGCCGCCAGGCTGCTTCTGTTACCTGTGTTGGAGTCAATCCTATCTACACATGATCTACGGTGGCTGTGCACCATGCTGGACGGAGTTCCACTGGCCATTGAGTCAACCTCACGCCGACTAGGATGTCTTCGTCTTCCAATGATCGATACACGTCTACCGGCAGCGAAGGCAGCATGGTTGCAGCGCCTGTGACTGACACGCAGCCTTTATGGCTGCTCTGATTCTGACCTGCGAACACTACAACCGCACCATGATATGAAGGCGTCACCACGAGGGCCACCGTTCCTTGACCCGCTCGTTCTGCTGAGTCAACTCTGTCCCGCCCTCAGGTGGTGGCGGTGGCCCTGATGTGTGTGACCAGTCGGGCGTCATTCGTGACTAACGCTGCTGACCCA